CCAATTTAGCCCAGATACAGATGTATCCATAAACGGCAATTTGGTTTTCCCATGTAAATCCCCCAGAAGGTCACCAAGCGGTCGGCGTGGCTTAAAGCTCTTCAGCGGTTTGCCTGGCTTAGCTTTATGGCCAGATGGCATGCGATGTGCCCTGGCCAACGGACAGCACGTGGCCAATTCCGAGAGCAGCTCTTGTTCCCACTCCTGCTTCTGCTTGTATCCCATCCTATCCTGGCTGATCCTGTCCAAGGACATGGCGCTCTCCTCGCTCTCATGCACCGCACGTTCTGCAGCTAATCGCTCAAGTCCTTTATGCCCTCGGCAGGCAGGAGCACTTTCGTGACCATGCAGTCCTGTGTCTATCATCCCGGTGGAAAGGCTCCTCCATGGATTTGCAAACTTAGAGAAAAGCCTAAACCGAAATTTCATATAAAAACCAAGAATGTAACTTATACATGTATTTAAGTTAAGGGCGCTTATAATAAATTATTCAATGAAAAGTATTTATAGTCCATTAATGGTTCCTATATTTTCTTGATGTTCTCTCTTTTTATATTTTTCTCCCAGTGCATTCTAGCTGAACATAACCACGCATCGCCATTGCCACTTTGCTCAATCCGAGCAGCTTACTTGGCAGCCGCGAGCATAGAATTTGTGGCTCGAAATTGATAAAAATGTTTGTCCTGCTCGCCACACAAAAGGATTCCAAATGGCCAAATTTAGCGAGCAAAGCGAGAGTGCTAAATATTCAAGTGGTATACATTTGGGCTTAGCTAAATATGAAATATGTGCTTAACCCTTCATCTGTGTGCAAATTTCTTTTCGTGGGATGTTTTTCAACCAAAGCCCTGATACAAATTACTTTCATATTTATCTGCAATTGATTGCAATTTTTTATTAAAATTTCGCCAGATCAACAGTTTTTGCTTAGTAAATCACCCAACATTTCCACGTCTGCCCGCACTGATGACGGTTATAATTTAAAAAGAACAGCCAACAAAAAAGGAGCTGACGCCTGAGAGCCATAAATTAAATGTCAGGTTGAAATATCAGAAACTGAAGTATGAAATATACGTAGGCTTTAAAATAATTTTGAGGCGCATTAAACAAAGGGCCGACCCGAAAACAATAATAAAAAAAACCAATGCTCAGTCCCAAATATATATTATATTGTAATATAATTTCTCGAGCGTAAATCTAATTTATCAATTTATGTGAGGGCAAAAAAAAAAACTTTTGGCAAGCCCGGCCAACAAAAAATCCCGTCAAACGGAGTCCGAAATTTATTTTGTTACCAACAATTTTGTTTCGGGTCCTGACCTGCGATTGTTGGCCTTCATTGCCAGCACGTTGGCCTTGTGTGTGTGGTGTGGTGTGTGTATATATACGTATATATGAAACGTGTCCGGGGCCTTGCAGTAATTGGCAATAAATGTGTTCATGAATTTTAATGTTGCCCTCGTCGGTCAGCGAAAGGCGCAAATCGGCCACGCCCGCCATCGGGCATAATTCATAATGTTATGCCAGATGCTTGTTGTGTTTTTTTTTTTTTTGTATTTTCCTGGAGGCCATAGCCTCTTCGAGGGACTTTAACGTAATTTGATTTTGCTCCCTGGGCGAATATTGAGATTTATTTGGTTTTGAATTGAGCCGGCTTCTCGGCTCATCCCCTCCTGAGTTTAAGCAAACTTAATACCGTTCAGTTGGCCGGCAAATGAGAGTTTATTGTGTGTGTAATTTGAGCGAAAGGAATGCTTCAACCACTTCCGTTTTGGCTTAGCCCGATGGTTTGGGTAGAGTTGCCTTTGATTTATCATATTCAATTACAAAAGTAACGAACGTATTAAATGCCACATCCGGCGGCCGTTCCAGGAGGCGTATGAGTAATTTTCTCCAGCCCTTTCTCTATTTTATCCACTTGGCCTTTGCTTCCGGCCTTCGCTTCTGTTTGCCCTCTGGAGTGGGCAGCGGGCCAAACAAATTTGCCAATGTTTAAATAGCAAACGTTTTGCTGCTGAAAGCCGATATCAACAACTACTCAGGATGCTCCCTTCGCGGCCCACAACTCTTTGGCCACTCGGCCACTTCGCGTGCACAATTCGCCATCTGCAGACGACTAAAAGTTGGCCGAAAGTCCAAGTGGAGCGTGTAGGCCGTCAGCTGCTGGCCATGTATTTGTTGTTTCTGTTCCGAAGTGAGTGGCTCCCCTTCCGCCTTCCAGTTCTACGGCTAACGGCTCAGACAGATGCTGATTTCTGGGCCATCCATCTCCAACTGAATTCGGTTTACCAAAGAAATGTGATTAAGTTTTGGTTTTGAATGTAAATAACTTCTGCTTAAGGCGCGACCATCGAACTTAAATTGTTTCTAAAGCTGTAGACATTGGCGGTTCAAGGATTTGGGTAAGAACAGGAACCTTCACAAAAAATAAACATTTTAATACAAATGTCTCAAAATGCTTTCTTGAAAACGTATTTAAGGGTATGCCACTTTGGAATCGGACGAAAATTGGCAAAGTTAATGGTTGTGGACCTCAAGACCCAGGTCTCCAATCAGCAAAAACTTGGAAAAATCTGACATGCTGTTCATGTCGAAAAGTCGACCATCGGGAAATGGAAAACTTTGAATGGACGCAAGCGATTACAAACCTTAGAGATATGCCACTTCAACGGGAAAATAAAAGATATGGCTTTGAAGATGCCAGTTAGGTCTGCTTGGCACACCACAAAACCAAAAACCGATCACAAAAAATACCACAAGAAATGGAAGACTTTGAATGCAGTTCGATCAGAAATGCAATTAGCAACTTTAAAATCTGACTAAAATTGGGAAGTTAAAGCCCTTGGAAGCAATTTTGATTCTCTTTTGGTCAAAAAGTGTACCTTCACCAAAAATAAAATTTTGAGTGCAATAACAGCACCTAAAAGTGAACCGGTCTAAAAATTAGTTAAAGCAGTGATTTGTTTAACAGCTTGAATGCGAATCTAATTTGTATCTGAAATATTTATAGTTACGGTTTTGAAGATTTAGTTTTATGGCCGATTAAATGCAATAGGCCACGGAAATACGATTTAGATTTATTTTGATGTCCTAAATCCACCGCATTATTTCCCAGGTGTGACACCCAATTTGAATTTAAATTTCCGCCTTGAGGAACTCGTATGCAACAAGAATTTATATTCGGGTAGAGCGCCACTTTTCCTCCGTACTACTATACAACTTTACATTTTTGAATGCAGTTTTTGGGAACTTTATTGTGAGTTATGTCCCATGTAAAAATGGGTGTGAGCGTGCGAATAAAAAGCTGGGAGTGCGCCTTTGGAACTTTTCGCCGACTTGAGTGGAAAAAACTGTCCTGACGGCGGAGTTGCGCCGGAGGCTGTCGCAATTTTTCACTTTTACCGCAGCAACTTTGCAGGAATATTACTCAGACGGGCCCAGCGGCAATATCCTGACAACAAATCCGGCGAGCACAACTAAGGTGCCGACTATGAGCCGGCGACTTGACAGTTGCTGCCTGCCAGACAACTCCTTTGGTCCTCCGCAGAATCCCGCCACTGCGATCCTGCCAAATATGTAAAATGAAAAATATGCTGCACATAAATCCTTAGGATTTCGCTTGTCCCCAGAAAAGTCTGCAAGGGAAAGCCGACGCGTCCAAGCCAAAAATTCTCCCAGCTGAAATTTAATTTCCCAATGCATTCGCAGGTCTTGGCTTTTAGGCAAATTGGAAATGGTTAACATGACACACAGAGACAAATATATATTTGGGCAAAAACAAATAATTTTGTAAATAAATATTTTAAAGTTTATAGTTAAAATATTATTATCAACAACTAACAGCCCAAAAATTTGAATTGTTATAAGCATTAATACAATAAATTTTAAAATGATAATAGTACAACTTATTAAAAAATTAGTTTAGGTTAACATTTAAAAATCTACTAAAGGCCTACAATACCTTGAAATTTTCTAGGTAATTTATGGATAAATAATCCGATAAATATTTTTTTTTCATTTTCTGCGGATTTTTTTGCTACAACCTTTGATCTTGCGTTTGTTTTTTGTGTTGTTTCCTTACCACAATGTGCTGCGGCTAATTTATGCAGCACGCTGGACTGTTGGGCTGCATGGGAACCGCAGGACCTGCACCACAGTTTATCGTTGGCCGCGGCGCACAAGTGTCCTAGTGCCGGCGACCACAAATCACCGAGGTCAACACGGCGTATACGCAATGCAAACACCCTAGCCAAACAAAACGAAACTATGTAACAAAACCACTGAACTTAAACCAAATAAAAAAAAGAAGTATAGTATAGTATGGTATAGTGCAGCAACCACTGGCGGAGCAGCTGAAACCATGTCAACATGTGACACCACGTTGATTTCAATTTGAATGGGTATTTGGTGGCTGTTAGGTGGAGTGTGTGGGAGTGTGGTTTTATATATAGATTAGCAGCTGCGGTAATTGAAAGCAGAGAGCGAAGAGGTGAAAAGTTAAATTAGTCCAGCCAGTCGTTCAATCACCAAGCAATCCAATTTAAGTGGGGATAATTAGAGGATGAATTTACGGCTTCGTTAGGTTTCACCAAAAGGCATTGAAAATAAATTAAAGCAAGATAAATTGTATTGGGTTAAATATAATGATTTATTCTAAGCCTTTATACACATAAACAGAAGCTATACTGCAATTCCCACAGAATGCTTTGAATGAGTAATAATTGCTAATCGTTTAAACTTAAGAACTTAGTTTAAATAACTTTTCCGGTAACATTAATTTAAGTATTTTACGTCTCATTTCAATAAGTAGCTTTTATCCGTAAAACCTTTAGTCTAGATTAAAATTCACATTCATTTCCTGTAAAGAAACTTGGAAAGGAAGGTCGAAAGGAAGAAACCACTAATTGCATTGACTAACCACTGACTCAGATGCTGAACTAACTCTGGTCCTTTCTCCTCTTTTCTTTCATTCTTTTTATCCTGCGGCTTGTCCTTGACAGATGCTGTTCAAGTGGCTCCTGTTCAGCCTGTGCATAATGCCGGCGATGTTCAGCAACACGAGGAGGAAGTGCCCCATTGAATGCCAATGCAGCATGGACGACTTGGATCGTTATCAGGCCATCTGCACAAAAGGTAAGTGGCGCAATAAATGCAAAAGGCGGAACCGATACGGGTGTGGCTGGAGCTCGGTGAAACCCCAGTAAATGCTCGGAAAATTATGCAAAAGAAAAGGGGGCGGGGGTTTTGGAATAAAGCTTAAAACCCGATAAGGCGGTCTCCGCTGGATACTATCATAATTACACATCCAGCGGTGATGCGATTCCTCGATTGGCGCAAATTCGCTGCTCACACGCAATCCACGGATGTTGGGGGATCCCCCGGACATTACTTTTAAAGCTCGCCCATTTATTTCCCTTAAATGTCTGACAATTTCAATTTGTTCAACTGTCATTTGCCGTCGTCGCTGTGGCTGGGGAATTTTTTCTTCGATTTCCCCTTCTGGCTCATCTGCTCTTCGTTCGCCCCCCAAAAAATCTATAATTTCAATTTAACGCTTGTTTGGCCAGCACTCACATATAGTAAGTCCTCGAATTGCTTTGAATGCGGTGCTTCTGTCGTTTTAATTTCACTTCAGAAACTGTTGGGCTTCTAATAATTGCCATGGCTTAGATTTGGCACTAGAAATTGGATAAAAATTCAAGATGTTGGATTTTAATTGTGTTGAAATAATTGTAAAAAGTGCCTCAAATGAAAACAAGTTAGTCTGCCTGAACAAAAAAAAATAAATGCTTTCTTGCAGGAATTTTTGGAAATCAAATGTTTTCAGCTAGAAAGACTATCAATTAAATAATACAAAATATACGCATGAGCAAACCTTATCTTTTAAATCCCAACAAATAAAAAAAAAAAAAACAAAAAGGAATGATTCTTAAGACCCGTTGTACTTTCCAAATCCAAAAACCCTCTGTAATAAATTCAACTAAGTTTCTAGGAATACCTGCAGCTAAGCTAAGCAACCCTATCTTTTATCCCAACACGCCCCCTCCAAAAAATAAAACTGGGTGCGCGTAAATAAAATATGTTAACAATCAGTGTTAATGCTCAGCATTTTTATGAAAATTCCCGCAGCGTGCTCGGCCAACATAAAACCGCTGCAACAACAACCCCGTCGAATACAATGAGGTCATTATAATGCAACTTCGCCCCTTAGACATTCACTTGTCCATGGAGCACAGCCATGCAAAATGCATAAAGCCCAGATCCGAAGCCCCAACAAAAAAAAAAATAACACAATGGAAGTGAGCGAAGAGTAGAAATTGTGCTGCATACAAATGCTATGTTAATGGTGACTGGGATCCGTTTAGTTGGTTGTACTCACAGTTACTCGGCAAATTCTAAATAGATGCTATGCCAATGGCCGACATTGTTGGCATACAATAGTTCAACAAGAGGTAGAACCCGCTGGGTCTGCAATTAATGATCTTGTTAGCAGTGTAACCGGGGCTGTATATTTAGAAAATTATTATAACTAGCTTTTCTATATTTTGGAATAACATACAACATGATTATTATTTGAATACATTGAATAAAACACCTTTCAAAGAATATTTTATGATTTTTGAACTTTTTAGCTTTTTAAAAAAAATTAAAATTCAACCAACGTAAATTGTTTCACTGCAAAGTTAGCTTAACAACCGAGAGCCGCATAAAATTAGTTCAAGTATCCTTGACGCCGCCACTCGACCTCAACTATTTTTAACTGTTGTGGTTTTATTTGTTTATTTAACAGGAGGTCTGAACTCACTGCTCTCGCCCAATGAGTTGGACATTGATGTTAAGGTTATTATCATTCGGGGCCCACGGAATTCCATTACAATCGGACCTGCTCTGAGGCAGTTCATGAAACTGGAGATCCTGCGCATCACGGACTCCAATCTGCCGGCAATCGGAGCCGAGTCGTTTTGGGGCCTCAAGTATCTGCGGATATTAGGTGAGTAATCAATGCCTTTACGAGTCGGAACTCTTAAATTCACCCCGACAGACATTAATCCAAAAAGGGGCAGCGATTTCAATTTAAGCAGCTACGCGCTCTTAAAAGCCGGCTCGCTGATATGCAAATAATACGGGAACAATCGGAAGAAAGGCGCGGGTGTGGCGATGCGGTTGTCCTGCAGCCTCGTAAAATGCGAAACGCAAACGAAAAGGCAAATAAAGCAGCGGACGCGTCGCAAAACGTTAAATGAGCATACCAGTGGCAGGCCGAGAAAGGACATCACAGGATAACGCAGGTTTCACATTTCGTGGAAGAGTCCTTCCACTTTTTTAATGCAGTTTGTGAGGGGAATAGCCAAATGAGGAGTTTTCTTAAGAGAAGAAGTGATACCCTTGATACTAAAAGTAAAAGAACTGTGCGTTAGTTATATTATTTTAAATAACTATTAAGTATACAGAACTTTTTAGCAATCTGATAAACACAATCAAAAGTTCCAAGCAGCTAATACCAAATCAATGTAAAAGAGCATTTCCGCTTCGCTTTCGCACCGCTCAGCGATTGTTGTCTTGTCAATAAAATTGAAATTGATGCGCCAAACAGCAGAAAGCGCCCAAAAAATAAAATAAGATTGGAAGCCTTCCTGGCGGAGGCAGAAAGCAAGTGTAAAGCCAACGAAAGCAATGCTCCGATATCGTTGGGGCTTTAAACTTGTTTATTTGTGCTTTATGTGGGCCACCCCCCGCTGGCGGTTTTTACAGCCACGGCACTGCCCCCCAATTATTTACATGCTCGGATCTTATTTTTTCGGCTCTGCCCCCTCAGCCATTGGTGTTTCATTCGCCTGTCGGGGAGTTGTACATGCTACATGCTACAAAAACAGAGTTACGCTGCAGTTCAGGATTTTTTTGTTCCGGGCTGCCAGCAAAGAGCAGCGAAACAATTGGTATTTCTTTTGGCCTCGCTTTTCCTCTTTTCCTCCTATTTCTATTTAAATTAATTTTGCTGTATGTTTAAGGGGGCTTGGCAGCAAGTACTCTGTTTCTGGTTCTTTGCTAGACAATGGGGCGTATGTGTAATGTGTTTTTTGTTTGCTTTAGCTGAGTCAATAGGACCGGAAGAGTGCTCGTTTAAAAAGTCTTTAATCCCAGACAATCTCAAACAAAGTTTAATAATTACGCAACAATGTATGTTTTTCACATTATTTATTCCGCATATCACCCTGACGACTGTCATTAACAAAAAATAACGAATAAAATCCGCGATTGCCGCTACTCATGTCTGTTGCAGATCTTTCCAAGAACAACATAACGAACATCACGGAGAACAACTTTCGGGGCCAGGATAATCTACTGGAACTGGATTTATCGAAAAATAAAATTTTACGCATGGCCAGCTCAACTTTTCGCCATTTGACGGTGAGTATATGGCGAGTGGTTGACTGATATCCTTTGTTTGCAACCGTCAGATTCGCGGTCTTTGACATTGAATCTCATTATGTAATTTATGGAGTTATGAAACTTCGTTAACAGGGAAAAAAGAGACTGTTGAATGAATAAGGGACATTGAAAAATATTTTAAACCTTGGGTGAATTTGTACTTCAATGAATAAATCAAATTAAAATCCAACAAATAGTGAAAAGGCAATCAGTATCCCCACTATTTTAGTCGATGGCTGTAATTGCTTATTTACAGCACTTGTTTTTGAGCCCCGTCAGAAGCAAGTTTTATCTCCAAGATGATTGCAATTTTCGCACGAGTTCATTTGGCGCGCTTGTAATAAATTGTGTGGCATTTTTAATAGCCTTGTTGCCGCTGCAAATTTGTTGCCTACTTTTCGGGGCGCAAAAGGAAAAGTTCTACGTGCTTGAATTTAAGTTAGGTTCTCCTGGTCCACTTTCCCAATTTCCCACTTTTGCCAGCAACTGGCGGAAGTGCAAGTGCACAGAAGTTAGTTTCGTTGTCTTCAATGTGCTTTCGATTTTGTTTTGCGCTGCGCACTGCGCTCTGGTGACTTCCTTTCCCGCTTCGCTTTTCCGGGAAAAGCCAGTGCAGCGCTTGCAACTTTTTTGGCTCTTTCCGGACCCAGGCAATATTTGTCTGATTTATGAATTATTAGCCGTAGCCGTAGCCAAAGCAGTAGGGCCTGATCATAAAACATAGTTAATTCACTGCATGCCGTAGTAAACTTGGAAAATTGCTTCTTTGCCCCCCAAAAAAAGGATCTGCGTAGTCTTAATTTGGCCGACAACTCGATTGTGGAGCTCGTGCAGCGCAACTTCTTCATGCTGAGCAGACTCAAGTATCTGGATTTGAGCGGAAATCCGCTGCAGGATTTACAGCCGGATGTGTTTCGCGATGTGCCGGTAAGTTGACCATCCACCATTTATACTCGTATGCTTTGTTATGACAGCCAAACTGAGTGCATTGTTTTGTCGCAGGAACTGAAAGTGCTCAAGTGCCGCAACTGTCAGCTGAAAAAAATCAATCCGCAGATGTACAATTTATTGCCGCTCTTAAGCGAATTGGATTTGGGACGCAACGAGGTTTGTCTTCCCTACTTTTCCGCCCCTCCTCGTTGAGTTTTTCCAATTATTTTCTTTTCGCACAGTTCAAGTTCCTCGACAAGGATGAATTCCGGGATGTTAAGCGATTGACCAAAGTTCTGCTCGACGGCAATCAATTGTCCGTGGTGGTGGACCAACTCTTTCGCATGCAGAAGAGTCTTAATCACTTGGGTGCGCCATTGAAATTATACTCACTCCTTTTACGGTCTTTTAAAAACTCTGAATTGCTTTCCATTTCTTTTATTCTCTACTCGGGTTTTTCTTTTGAACCGAATTAGATTTATCGTACAACCGGTTGGCCAAAGTGCCCAATGACTCGTTTCTGCAGCTGACGAACTTGACCTTCTTGGACTTGTCCTACAACAAATTGGTGCGTCTGGAGCCGCAGTCAATTAGGAGTCTGAGCAATCTGCTAATCCTTAATATAAGTGGCAATGTGCTGATGGATCTGAGGGAAATGAGAGAAACCTTTGAGGTGAGTTTGAATCTGATTTCAAATAATAAATAAGTTGGGTGTGTTAAAAACCAGAACGTGATAACTGCAATACCTAATATATTTACATTTCTAAAATAAGAATTCTATTCTTATTGATTCTCCAATTGATTTATGCTTTTTTTTACCTTTTCTCCAGCTCATTCCCCAGCTGACCCACCTGGCAATCGCCGATATGGGAACAATGCCCATTGGACTGCTGCATCCTTTCAAGCAACTCAGATATCTCAATATCTCTGGAAATTCCTTGAACAACACGGCACTGGAGGTCATCGATCCGTGTCGAGAACTGGAGGTAAGTCACTCACAGAAGTTTGCTGCACCTGGGCAATAATTCAGGCTGGAATACCGTATATATTTGCCTCGTAGATCTATTGTCCTGCAGCCAGGACTGTTGATTCTTTCTGGCCAATTTGTAGAATATTTCACTGTGAAACATTGCCACAACGAGGGTATACACACACACAAACACACACACACAGAGGCACCATTACTGAAATTGCGGGTGGCAGAAAGGGGTATTTGCAGTTTTCGTTAGCGTTTGCCCTTTCTGTTTATACATTTGTGACAACAGTCGAAAGCCGTGGCTTTATTCCGTTCCCCAGCCAGAGGGATTCATGGTCGGTCCGTCTGTGTGTCACCCAGCTTTCTGTTTGTGCCCCACGTCTGTCAGACGGCCCCTCTCTATATCCCCCCATATATCCCCTGACTGGTGGTGTCCTTGCACTCTTCTTGCGGATTGTTTTCGGTGCCGTGATGGAGATCCTTTTGTTGCCACAGTCCTGCCATCGAATTTGCTGTTATTGTTGCCGTTGACTATGGCAAATTTATTGGGGCCCAACAAAAGCATCAGCAGCCTGAAAACCAACAACAATCATTTTATAGCCATTAAGCCTTTCATTTTAATTGAATTTAATTGTGTATACACTTCACTCAAGCCATTTGGGTTCCATTATTGTGGAAGGCCCAAAAATTTTCAGGTTATTTTCCTTGATTCCCTGAGTTTTCTAAACACTCAAGACCAGCGGATCAAATATCTCAAAACAATTAAAAAGAAAAGTTAAAAAATATTTAATTTATTCATTCAAACATTTTAAGTAATACTCAGCTATAAACTATATTTCCTATTGGTTTCCTCCTTAAAATATTTATCGTTTAAACTATTATTTTTAAGTGTAAGCATGCGTGTTTCCTAAGCTAATTGTCATTTAACAACCAGAGTTTTCCAATAAAAATTAAACTTTGTTTGAAATCCTCTCTTCTTTTCCATTTCCCCCCTTGTAATGCACTTTTAATTGAACATTTCTGGCCATTTTCCTGGCCTTGTTTCTGTGTTTCAACAGTTTTTGGATTTATCTCGGAATCAATTACACGGCATCAGTGAGGACACAGCCCTCAGGATCCAAGGCATTCGCAACGTGCGACTCGACAACAATCCTTTGATATGCGACGAGTGTCACATGGGGAAATTAATAAATGTTGTGCGCCAAGTAAGTGGAATTGCAGTTGCAAACAAAATAAACGAAGCCCTCGGCACTGAAAATTCAATTTCAATTAGTTTTCAAAGCCTTTGGTGATTGACGATGCCTTACAACACCTTCATGACTCACTTTTCAATTTTCCGCCCTTCTCTGTGTTTCCCTTGTTTGCAGCTGCAGTGGAAATGGGATACGTATCCCATTTGCTTTTTGCCAAAAAGCCTGAGAGGTGCAGAAATAAATAATTTGGACATCAACGGGCTGCACACGTGCCTGACTTTCATCACCGACGAGGAGCAGAATGCCGCCAGCACTTCATATAACTTTCTTGAGCACGGTAAGGAATTTCTGAAAATAGCTTGGAGAATGTACTACATTCAGTTAAAAGACCAATTAAACCAAGTAGGTAACTGATGCAGGGCTAGATGAATACTTGACGGCATTATAAAGAAGAGCCAGGTTACCAAATCAAAACCATTTTAACTACAGTTTACCCCTTAAATAAAAGCAAAAGCTACCTTTATTTCCATTTAATCGTTTTGTTTTATAAGAAGAAAATGCAAAACCCTTAACATTTAAATCTCTGTTAATTAACCCACAGGCGGTCTCAATACTCTGGCCATTCTGGGTGGCATCATCTTTGTTCTAATTGCTGTCATTATACTTTCGCTGGTGGCCTGCTTCTCGAAAAATCGGGCTCGTTACTACACGAGAGAGGACCATCTGAATGGCAGTAAGTACAGATTAGCACCTGAATTTAAATTTAATTGCAGTTCGCGGAGGAGGGTGTCTTAAGCTCCGACTCCGGGCAATTTGCCAAGTGCAGGCGGTGAAATAAAAAGAAGAACGGGCCAAAGATATCCGGAAATTTATTTCCCGGATACTGGCACGCGCATGATTCACCAAATTAAAAAAGGAAAAAGTCGCCGCACTTAATTAATTACAAGAACGTGCTTCATTATGCCGGGTCTCCTTACCTACAACCCCCTAACCACCCACTCGCAACTTAATTGGGGAATAAATAAATTTCACACTGACCAAGTTCCGTTGCCGCCGGCGGGCGTTAATGTTTGTGCTCACCTGAAATTGGCGCTGGGGCATCCGCCATTCAGCAGAACGCACTCGAGGGAAGCCCCACACAAAAATAAGAGGCGCAAAAAGGGCAGAGGGCCGGCCAAAAGGAAAACAAAGGCAAACTTCTGAATTTACGCAATTGTAGCATTTCTGCACAAACAATAAAATGGCCTTAGAGGCTGTCGCCCTGCCACAACGAAAACTTTTTGCCGCACACCCAAATTCGATTCCCCCGATAAACGGAGAGAAAAAGCGCGCCGAGGGAAACAAAAAATTTTTCAGCTGACAGCAGGCAAAAACCGCTACCGCTTTCCCCACACTCCGGAAATGAGTTCTTAGAATTGAGAAAAATGTGGAAAACTATGACGCCGTCGAAGCCTTTCAGTGCCCCAGTTTGCAGTAGGGAACTTGAAGAAAAATTTAGATATGTTTCTGGAAACGGGAGATTATTCTTTTTTATTTAATGTTAAATGTGTTTTTGCAATAACAAAAATAGTACGACAATGTTTTGCTTTGCAATAAATTTTTTTTAAACAATTAATATGTATTTAAATTTGTATTATATTTCCGCAATTTATTTTGTAGGAAAAACTTAATTGGTGTTAAAATTGTATGCACCGAAATAGTCGGAAATATGATTACAAGATTTTTTAAGCAATTTATACTATAGTTTGATAATTAAGTTTTATTCTCAAAAATCTATATTTCGATTTAATTAAAATTTTCTTTAATTTTAGTACCAAAATAATATAAGTTTTTCTATTTTTATATTTACTCATTTAATTCTTGCAGTGCAGCTAGCCACTTGCTCCATAACTGGAACTCATTTTCTCCTCATTTTTTCTGTCTTCCGCAGGCGAGAGCAAGTGCCTGGAAAAGAACCTGGAGGCGACCACGATTACAACGCTGGGCAATGGCAGTTCGCCCACCACGACGACCACTCTGACCCTGGCCACCTCGCCGTCTGCGCAGAATGGGAAAAAATCGGGAGGAGAAGTCGTGGCTCTGAGTCCTGCCAACGGCAGTACGCCAGTTCACGGAACTCAGGGATTCCCCGAGGACAAGGGCAAGGAAATCAACTTCACCTTCCCCGTCGACGATCGCGTTTGCACAATTGACGAGCTGATGCCGCCGCCATCGAATCAGCATCCCAATATGGGCAGCCTGATGTACAGTGTCTCCCATTCGCCGAACTCGGCCACAACCCTGGCAGCCGTGGCAGCGGCGGCCACCGTCATTCCCCCCGGAGCTCCCTCACCGATGCCCATGCCCACGCCGGCGGAGGCGGTGGTCGTGGTGCTGCCACCGCCGCCACCACCACCGCAGCTGCACCAGCACCACCACCAACAGATGGACGGCAGCCTGGCCAGCTTGCGGGAGGTTCAGCAGCAGCTGGTGCATCTGAGCAGCACGCTGGAACCGCTGGTCAGCGTCAACTGACCCAGGGGAACCATGGGAGCCACCTCGTCCTCCGCCGCATCTGCAATCGCCATTGCATCCCCATCCGCGACCAGGTTTGCCAAGCAAACAGTTGGCACCACACCGACGTAGGCCGCTGGAGAGTTGTAGTTGGAGTTTGCAGTTTGTAGTTTGCAGTTTGCGCGGCAAACGTTACGGAAAACGGACGACGGGGCGTATAATTAATGGCCATGCGGGGTCGCATTGAAGTGCAGTAATTAGGATTTGAGTTTCGCAATTAAGTTCATTAATCACTCCAGACGACGATCATCATTATATTCCTCTTTTTTTTGGCCCATAACATCCCATTGGGATGCGGCAAAAATTAATCCATACTGCCATTCTCACAATTAACGAACTTTACCAGTGTTTCACTAAGATACTTGTAATCTAATTTTAATGTTTTTTATATGCGCATCTGTATATAAAACTGGTCTACGTTTAGGCGAGAAGAACCACGATTCATTTTTGACACATTTCAAATGTGATAAAACCGAACGTATTCTGTACATAAGTATTAAGGCAGACGAACCATAAAAACTGAGTGTGTAATCTTTAAGCGAACGACATAATGTTAAGCAACTTGTATATTTGGCCAATGCGATTCAAAATTGAGCAGCCGCTGTTTGAGAATTTAAAAAGTAAACATTAAAATAGCACGTAGTTAGAGGCATAGATTTCCCAAACACATACAATTACACATATAAACCTAGTGATTAAGGCATGTCAAAGATATAATGTTGAGAACCCAAATTAAAACCAAGTAAGCTGAAATCAGCAATCATTCAAATGGAACCCCCACTAGAAGCCCGAAACGATTTTAGGTTAACCCCCGAATCAATAACAGAACTTGGCATTTTCACGTATTCTTAAGTCGGAAAATTGTATTTATTTTACACAGCAATAACCGTAATCCATAATAAAGTGTGACTGTTTATGAAACCAAAAAGAGAAACGTGTCATTCGTGGAAACCGAAGGGAATCCGCAGAAAATGGTGGCGTCTTCCTGCCAGCAATTTATTTAATAAAAATTCACATTTACTGCACTGCACACTTGCATCACTTTGCGGTTTTCCGGTCTTGGCCCGGCGCCACCCCATCTATCTTATCCCATTGTGTGGCATCTGAAATTATGTTGGTAACATGTCGCCGAGCATGTGCTGCGTTTTTCCTGTTCTCCTCCGACCATCCAACTCGCCGATTTGGCAACCCTTCGCTTTCCGCCGACCGAGAATCGATTCCTAAGCGACCGCAAGGACGACACCAGGCTAAAACCAAACTCAACGCAAATGAAAATTGCTTCCGCTTCCGCGGTGGCTTGGATACGGCACTCGGATTGCCATTGTTGCTGATTCTGATTCTGATTGCATTGTGAGCACTGAGCGGGCTGCCGCGGCATCAGTTCGCTTTGATTTAGCTCGCCAAAGTTGGATGAAGAGGAAACTAGAACAGTCGATACTTTCAAAAGTAATTGGAGTGACGGTAATGTTGATTAATTTAGTCCGCTTTTGTGGTAAACAAATAAACATTGTGTAAAAAGAGTGCACCTCTTACAAATCCGTTTGCGCAAAGCCATAAATCTATATCCAAATATCTTAATGAATGATAGTATTCAAAATAGGTTTTATCTAATTTTAAATAGACTTAGCTTCAGAAATCTAAAGGGATTTTTCACGTGCTGCATTAACGAACTTAGTTCGCTGTGCTGTTTTATACAAGGTAAGAATATTTAAATAGACTCATTATGTATCGTGTGGCACATCCTACAGTCAGTTATCCATTATGCAAACTGAGCTGATCAATAAGCAGCCCAGTCGATGTGAAAAATGGCCTACCATTTTTTGTCCGATATATATATCTTAGAGACAATGTCCAGGGCGAGTCCGAAGCCCATTTATTGGCCGGGAAAACATTTGAATTTATGCATGAAGCTTGTAAAGGCCCTCAACTGGCGGCTGGCCCGAGTGTGCGGCCGGAGCATTGAAAATGCATTTCCAATTGCCGAGCAGTCAGTCGAGTGGCCAGGCGCATGCAAATTGAGCAGTGCGGTTGCAGCTCTCCAGATTGCACATCAATATTGCTACACTTGACACATCCGGACGGAAAGGCAGGAGCGAAGGAAGGAAGGCCGGACTGTCCGGTTCTGATTAACATTTGAAGTGTGCGATCCCTTCAGATGAGCCATCGAAGGGGTCCTAAATTGCCACTGGAGATTCTCCGGCGGAGGAGATGAAATTTGACTATTTTTCCATTTTTCTTAATTCGTTGCATCCGGGGCCCTCGAAGTCGAGCAGCTGCTGGCATTGCTCATACGCAGCGTGTGCACTCGGAGCGGTTATAAAAACTTTTACAACCACCCACTTACAGGCAATTGACGAAGGAAAATGGCAGCCACTCGGCTCCCATCTGCTCGGGAGCCATCAATTGATTTCCTCCTTTAATGCACAGAAGCTTCGACTTCCTCGGCTTTGTTCCCCGCTGACGGGGATATAAAATTTGCTCCGACTCCTTGCTTTTTATTACTTTCTCGTATGCCAGTGTGCAACAGTTGCGGTTCGATGTGTAAATTTAATCAGTCAGCTTACTCAACTTTGGTGCAGTGCAGCAGCAGGACCTCTGGATCCTTTCCTCGCATCCTTTCCGCGCCTCTGTCTCAGTTTGCTCCTTCCGCTGCGCTTTATTGGTTTACTTAGGTTGAGTGAGGAAAAATGTCGAAATTAAATTAAATTTCAGCCAGGTTAACTACCTCTTTTTAGCCGGGTTTTTATCTAGCTGATGCGATGATCAGAAAGGTTTAGTAATTTCTTTAAAAGTTATAGTTTTCTGCAAGGACTTTTAAGTTAAGCTTACATAAGCTGTAACAGCACTTATAACTTTTTAGAAACCAATTAAATAGCCATGAAATTCCCCAAAAAGTAAATAAGCCTTCTCTTTTCAATTAAATCACTTTAAATTATTTATTAAGTAGTCGCCCGCCTTCTCGACCCATCAATCATTATTCCTACCAACTAACATATTAAACCTTTCGTCTGGCTGCCATGACAAATCGTTTAAACACAATGACAGGCAATGTCTTCAGTTATAGCAATGTCAAGGCACGCATTTGTCAGTTCTAATTGCTTTTCAAAGCATTTGCAAAAGTTGCAAAGCAAAAACCATTAGGCTTTAACCTCTAACAGCTCCGGACAAAAACCACTGCTCATATCAAGGCTTCTGAATACGTTCCACACAGGAAGCGCAAATGAACAATTTGAATTGTCCACGGGGGCTCTGAATAAAAAGGGGGAAACGGAGCTGGGGGGCACCGAGATTTTTGCAACGCTTCGACACGTGTGACAAGCCTGCTGAGAAATGTCAGGACACGAATTTTATTATAGCAGAGCTGATGCTGTTATGCAGACAAAAAAAGGGAAATATATTTCAAAATAAATACAATTGTTTCATCAACATATGTACATTTTTAATATTAATTAATAGCAGGTGACTTAAATTATTTCCGTAAAAAGGAAAAATGAAATAAGCATAACTTGAAGGTTTGCAGATCGTATACATTTTTACATTTTAAGATCGCAGTAAAATGTATAAAAATTGATGATTTTTAAAAAAAATACAAAAAGTAATTAAATTTAGTTTTATTAAAAATACAAACGTATATTTTTTTCTCTGTGCACTAGGGTTGTAGGACATGGAAAAACTAAATTCAAAATCGAAAAGACTTTTTTGCGGTTCGTCCCAGATGCAAAACTATGCGCACCAAAACGAACGGAAAAAGAATTGCCGGCTATAGATTCAGACAGCCGCCGGATACTTTAAGGGCTTAAGGAATTAAGGTTAAAAGAGGGAAAACCTAAAGGAGAACCAATTAAAGCGTCTCAAGTGGCCAAACTTTAAGCCGACTTGAATAAAAGTTATGCGAATAATGCTCACCGCTCGATTTCCATCGATGAAGCAGCTAAACTTTTTGAGACACAAGACTCAAATTTAGAGAAATATATTTCTAGAATAACCCAAAAACGATGAGAGGACGAGACGTCAACATTTGGATACCTCAAGAAGGCAGCTGCCTCTCAGTTTGTTTGCCAAATGGCCGACGATATATTTTCACTGGCAGCTTGGCCAAAAGCGGTCCCTTGGGTGTTATTACCAACTTTTTGAAATTCATAAATTTTTGCGGTACAGATAAAATAATTTAAATGCCACACGTATAGCCTGGCCACTCCTTACGCATTTGGCTAATTTTGGGGATTTTTGGCAAAGTTGACTGTTTGTGGCAACTTTGGCCATTGGCCATAATCGTAGCGGCATAAATCCATACGCTACCTGGTAAGTGAAAGGCATAAATATCCAATACGAGGTACATATATCAAACAATGCTGTGGCTTCCATCTTTCACCCCGACTGCCATTTTTTACGCTCCACAGAGAATTACCCGCTGGGCTGGCTTCTCAGATTTATGATGAGACAAAGTTGCGCGCGTGTGTGACTCCATTAAATCCCTTAATAGGATAATGTGGCTTACGGAAATAGGCAGAGAGAAAACGTAGATATTGTCAAATTTATTTGACACCCGCTGACAGTCTGAAATGCAAATTTAAACCGGCCAAAGTACTTTAAAATGAAACGCCAGATCTGAAAATAGAGGCTTTTCCGCAGGGTGCTACTTTTTCAGAAGTATGTGATGAATGAAGTGAAGTTCTGCATACACCAAGTTGCAACAGTGTTGTGATATATTTGTGGCAAAAAATCCAGTAACATTTTATGAATTAAAAATATATTTTTAAAGTAATTTCATGTTTTTATGTTATTGAAATAAAATTGTATTTTATTATTATTATTTTTCTCACATTTTAAACGTTTTCTTTTTTGGGTTTTAAAGATGATACTGCATAACGAATGTAGGGGAATTTCTATTTTGTAAGTTTTATTCATGAAAGTCGGCTTAAAAATACCCAAGTTAGCAGCCCACACCCACTCACACTTGGAACACTGTGGCGCTGTGGCAACCCTAAACACGTGCTGGCTGCAAATATCGAGGACTACATGCAGTAGAGGCTCCATGGTACAACAATACGGATGAGCGAACTTAAGCACGCAGCTTTGTGTATTGAACATGTCATCGGCAAAATTTGTGTCAAAAACCCGACCGCAAACACAGTGTCCTGAAAGGAAAGAGGGAAAGGGGGTCGCTGCGGAGGAGTGGGACCTGGTACAGGTGCCTTCATTGCTGGCATTGTTGTGTGCGGCGGCCACTGCCGTTTTCAAAATATTTTCAGTTATGCTGCTTGCTGCCCTTTGTCCCCCTTTTAACACATTGCCCGCCACTTTTGTCCCCCTTCACCGCATGCCTCTGCTACGAACTTGGGTTCGGACTTGGCCTGCTGCTATACGCTACAGAGTATGCTATACATCAATTTAACAAGCAAGCATGCACCTGGGAAATTAGCCGGCAATAGTGGTATTTTTTGGACAACGCCAACACCAGAGCTTACGACACGAACATACAAAGCGAATTGGCCCGCTGAAAAGGATCCCTTCACATTTTCCTGGCATTTTCTTTGCATGCCGTGCACTCGAATGTCTTACTAAGGTGTTTGTTTTTGCGAGTTTTCACATGTGAATTACTTTATTCCATCGATTTGAGAGGTTTACTTCGGGACGTGGGACTTTCTCTTTATGTTTAATATTATATTTTTAAACTGGAGGTGGAAGAACAAATATTTAAAGAATAAAAGCAGATATAACTTTGTTTCGTTAAAGTTTAAATTAATTTGTAGGGTGATAAAGTTACTAAATTTTATTGGATATAATTAAATAAAAGTTTATAACACAAAATGTATTGCAAAAAGTTGTAGCTAAAAAGTTGTTGTTAGTTGCTCTCGATAGCATAAAGTTAATGTTTATAAATAGTTAGTAAATTATTACTCAAACAAGCACTAACTTTACCATCAT